TCCCGAGTGGAAGTGGGAACAGATCACTATGGACTTTATCACCAAATTGCCGAGGACTGCCAGAGGAGTTGATGCAATTTGGGTGATCGTGGATAGGTTGACAAAGAGCGCTCACTTTCTTGCCATCAGTGAGAGTTCTTCAGCGGAGAAATTGGCGGAGATTTACGTGAGAGAGGTTGTATCTCGGCATGGGGTGCCGATCTCGATTGTTTCAGACCGCGATGTGCGGTTCACTTCCCGTTTTTGGAAGAAATTTCATGAGGAATTGGGTACTAAGCTGCATTTTAGTACCGCATACCACCCCCAGACCGACGGTCAGAGTGAGCGGACGATACAGACACTCGAGGACATGCTTCGAGCTTGTGTACTGGATTTCGGGGGTAGTTGGGACACGTATTTGCCTTTGGCGGAATTTTCCTACAATAACAGCTATCATTCGAGCATTGGTATGCCACCTTTTGAGCTGTTGTATGGTAGGAGGTGTCGGACTCCCATATGTTGGGGAGAGGTTGGGCAAAGGGTAATGGGCAGTACAGAGATCGTGAATCAGACGACAGAGCAGATACAGTTGGTCAGGCAGAGGTTATTGACCGCTCAGAGTCGACAGAAGAGTTACGCGGATAGACGCCGGTCCGAATTGGAATTTCAGGTCGGCGACTTTGTTCTCCTGAAGGTCTCTCCTTGGAAAGGAGTGATCCGGTTCAGGAAGAGGGGTAAATTGGGACCCCGGTTTATTGGCCCATTTCGTGTGATCGCCAGGGTGGGCCGGGTAGCCTATCGGCTGGAGTTACCAGCAGAGTTGGGACAGATTCACAACACTTTCATGTATCGCAGTTGAGGAAATGTATAGCCGATGAGTCGGCAGTGGTTCCACTTGAGGATATTCAGGTTGATGCGAGCCTGAATTATGCGGAGAGACCAGTGGCTATTAGGGATCGGAAGATCAAGATTTTGAGGAACAAGGAGGTACCTCTGGTATTGGTTCAGTGGCAACATCAGAAGGGATCAGAGATGACCTGGGAGCCAGAGGGTATGATGCGAGAGCAGCATCCGGAGCTGTTTTAGAGTGGGACTTCGAGGGCGAAGTCCAGTTCTAGTGGGGGAGACTTGTAACATCCGGATTTTACCAGGTAACTTGTAAGTTTTAACTTCGTTATATTATGTGAGGGACTCGGCGAGTTGGGGCTCAGACTCGCCGAGTAGGGACGCGGAACTGATCGATGATGCGCGCTTGGACTCGGCGAGTCCAAGGTATGGACTCGGCGAGTCCAAGGTATGGACTCGGCGAGTCTGCGCTGTGTAATGAAACCCTAAATCTCCGGGTTTGTGGCCTATTTAAAGGGCCTTATGGCCGTCATTTGCACTCATCCAACCCCCAGAGTGTGTCCCTAGAGTTCTTGAGCGTTTGGTGAAGGATTGAGAGCAAATCTTGACCTTGTGGGTGTTGTTTAGCAAGAAGAAGGAGGCTCTAGGCAAGAGGAAGCAAAGGAGGTTGCTATTTCGTGGGTTTGGAGCCTGGATCATCACTTTAGAGGTAATATTTTCGGACCATTTTCTGTTTAGTGAAACTTGATGCAAGTTAGGGCTTAATATGATCATTTATGGGGTGATTTGGTGCCCTTTTGTTCCCTCTTTGAGTTGAGACCATGGATCTGGATCCATAGAGGTCCAGAGGGCCTCACTCATCAAGCTTTATGAGTGGAAATGGAGTCCTTGGCCTTGTGTTGAAGTAATAGAGTCAAAAACATCATTTGTGATCATGTGGAGGTTATTTATGCATCAAGATTGTGACTTTACGTGCTAAATAAGCATGGAGGGACTGGATCTAGGGATTAGTGGACTGGATCTGACCTTTAGAGCAAGATTGAGTCAGTGCATGGCACGGACTCGCCGAGTCCGAAGAACAGACTCGGCGAGTAGCATGAATGTTGCGCGACCACTCAGCGAGTGGCCTCGCCGAGTTGGGAAAGGTGAACTCAGTGGGTCAAGGGAGAGTCAGGATGGACAGGTGGACCGAGTCAAACTGGACTCGCCGAGTTGTTCTTGAGACTCGGCGAGTTGAGTCGTGGTGGCCCCACAACTCGTGCCAGGTGGAGCTCGTCGAGTTGGGGGAAATACTCGACGTGTCAAGGGAGGGTTCCAGGGAAATTGGTGCATGCGCACGGACTCGCCGAGTCGCTATAGTGCACTCGCCGAGTCCGGTCAGAATTGACCGTTGACCAGCGTTGACCAAGAGTGATTTGTTATAGTGTGATCAACCCTAGTTGGGAGAGTGTTAATTAGAGATGTATTGTGCTATAGGGGGCTACAGCTCGGCGGATCGAGTGTTTAGTGATTTCAGGGTTACGAGTTACCGAGACACACGAGGTGAGTCTCCTCACTATACTTTACCTTGAGTAGGTAATCAGAGTTATGTGATAGAGTATTTGTATGCTCTGTATGTTATGTGTTGTACTGCATGATTTATATGTGACTTATGTGGTGCATGTTTATCAGAGCTAGAACCTGAGGGTTCACAGAGTTTGGGTGCACGGACCCACAGAGTTATAGCCTCGAGTGGCTTATATGTGTTTTATGTGGTATTTTGGGGAACTCACTAAGCTTTGTGCTTACAGTGTTGATGTTATTTGTTTCAGGTGTTAGTGACGACCGCGGGAAGGCGCCGGCTTGATCCGTACACACACGTTTGGAGTTTTACATGTTGATCTTGGGATTTTGTAATGTATTATTGAACAAGTAAAATGGGTGTTTTTATGAATATTAGTGGAATTATGTTTTATATAAAAATCGAAAATTTTGTTTGAAAAATCAGTGTTACATGTTACAAATAAACCTCTTAAGTAAAAGTAACTCATAAAATTTTGTGAGTGTTAAATGGTGGTTGTGAATCATATCTTGGTGGTTGATGGTCTAGTTAGTTGGTTTTGAACTTTTAATAGATGGATAATGGAGCAGGGAGATGGCCATAAGGTTACAGGGCGTAGGCAACACGTCTATGGCGTGATGCTAAGATAGAGCACCATCACGGTGTAAACACCGCCTCTCTCAACCGTGACGCTGAGGTGAAGTCGAGCATCATGACCCTTTTACAACTAACCACGACTGCTTCTTTCTCTCTCGTCTCTTCCTTGTCAATTTTCTCTTACTGTGATGACCACACCCTCATGTTGTAGTGTGAAGATGGTGTTGAGGTGGAAGAGGGTGGCCGAGGGGTGGCGTGATGATCAAACCCACCAGCCTAAGGTCTAAATGGATAGTGTGGCATGTAGATGTAATGTGGATAATGCGGAATATGGTAAAAGTAGAAGTGTTGAAAAAAAATATATCTCAAAACAACGTTTTAAGATGTGGCTATGCCACTATTGTCATGCCAACGCCATATAAACAAATGAACACGTCACCTTCAACCTGTAAAAAAAGTAGAACTAAAGTAGTGATTTGGGACGTTTTACAGGTATTTTAAATCTTTTACATATTTGGTAAATATGTAAAACTAAAATTAAAATATTTTTGTGTTGATTCAAATGACCATCAAACTCTCGATTGTAACTCGATTTAGCCACTAAACATCTAATCACGTTAAATTAAACCCTAAAGTATGAACTTTTATTCGTTTGGCCATTCCGTCCTCATGCACCCGGGTAGCCGATTTCCCTACCTATGTGGCCTAAGTGAGGGTAAAACAACTCGATTTAGCCACTAAACTTCTCATCATGCTAAATTAGACAGTGAAATCTATTTTTAAACTAAACTCTCTTTTAAGTTTTTTATGTTGTTTTTTTTAATTTTTCAGTAAAAATCGAACTCTAAATTTCATTTTATATATTTATTCATGTTGACATTAAGTTTACACCGAAAATAATAAATTAGATAATCATTTATATATAAATCTATTTATCATAAATCTATCACAAACAATTTATATGGGTTGTCAAAATTAATTGTTACAGAAAATTTAATATGTACTTTAATTTTAAATAAAAAATATAATTGAATGTGGTGAGTACATGCACTTTTTACGAATTTAAAAACCTATATTGTGGATTATCATGTATAACCATATTTAACATTTCTTTATATTAAGTCTAAGAATTAGTTTAAGCTTGAATGAAGCCATCAATATGTTTATATTTGTAATTTTCATCAAACTTTTCATATCTCTCTCTCTCTCTCTCTCTCTCTCTCTCTCTCTCTCTCTCTATATATATATATATATATATATATATATATATATATATATATATATATATATATATATATATATATATATATTCTTTTGAGTTTATAGTTTTTTTTTATTTGGTCTTTTATTGAAGTTTTTATAACGGTTTGTTCTTTTCCAAAAAAAATCATATACGAAGAAAAGAAAAATGTAAAAGTAGTAGAAATAGTGATATTACTTGAATTAAATTAAAATAAAAAATAAAAAATTATATACGACCAGAATTCAAAAGCCAAAACTTTAATATACTTTAATATATTTATATAGTTTACAAGTTTTTTTTAAAAGGTTATCAAATTGGTGAAAAATAGAACGAAAACTAATTTGTCAAGATCAGATATTTATTTTTTAAACGAGTTTTTTTTCCATAAAATTTAACGTGATGAGTAGTTAAATAATAAGTTTCTTTTCAGGAGTTTAACGGTGATCCTCTGAGTCAAAGTTTTTTTTTTTTTACGCAAAGTTTTGCTTTCCCTACTTTTCATAAAATTAAACAACACAAATGGGTGCTATTACTTGTAAAAGGCAGGGCAGAGAATCCATGGGGGTGGATCTGCACATGCATATCCACTTCAAAACACAAACCACGGTAATTAAGATTCTCGCACGTAACCTTCCATGAGAAAGACAGAGAAGACCCACAAAAGAAAATTATAAAATTTGTATATAACTCGAACGTACGTAATCATATTATATATACAAAAAAGATAAATTATATTTCTAAGTCCTACCCATTAAATTGTGTTTGTTTTCGTTTGACATACAAGTTTAATGGCATGTGGGCAGGTAGGGTTTGAAGGAACAAGTGCAAATGTGAGCTCATCACTTCCAATGCAGTTGGAGTTCGAAACGTATTTTTCTCCATTAATTAATACACCCATTAAATTACACCCCACAAAGCACACATACAGCCTAAACTTTACCATAATTTGTGTAGACACACTGCAAGTTCTAAAGAAAGAGAGATATCGATCACTCTCCCTCTGTTTCAAAAGATTCCAAGATCGGTTTCTTATTATTTAAATAACACCCACGTTAAACCGCGAAATGCGCAGCATTTCGAGAGAAACCCCACCTGAAAATACTCTGAAAGCTGTCGTCTTTCTTGCGGGAGTGAGGGGAAAAGTTTCATTTTGATGCAAGAAAGTGAAAATGGAGGAAGAACTTATCAGGCATGGGAGATCTTTAGCTGAAACACCAACATGGGCTGTTGCTACTACTATTACTTTCATGGTTTTTGCTTGCTTGTTGGTTCAAAGATCGATTTACAGATTTGGGAGGGTAATTTTTGAGTTTTTCCATTTTTTGTTTAGATTTTCTGTTGAGAATTTGAATGATTTGTGAGATTTGTGGTATCCAGTGGTTGCAGAAGACAAGGAGAAAGGCGCTGTTAGCTTCTTTAGAAAAGATCAAAGAAGGTTAGCCACAAGTTTGACATCAAATAGTTATGTTTTATAATTTCAAGTTCAATTGGTACTTATTTGTTATGTATATTAATGTGATTTCATTTTGGGTTGAGCAAATCATGGAAAAAGCAATGCGACAGTGACTTGTAATCTTTTATGGATTCTCATAAAACAATATTGAATGTTTTGATTATTTAAGCTTTCGCAAAAAATATTGCATTTAAGATATGTCTGATGGTGCTTGAATAACCTTGTATAAAAATCTTTAAATCTGATACAGAACTTATGCTTCTTGGACTCATATCTTTGTTATTGGGGCAATGGGCAAGGGTGATTTCACAGATTTGTGTGGATTCCTCACTCTTTAGTAGTAAATTCTTCCTTTGCTCCAAAGAAGATTTTGAGATGGAAAAAATTGTAATTTTCTCAAGATTCACTTCCTTTTCAAACGAGTCTGATACACCTCCAGAAGGGCTTAATACTCATTTTCATCAGTGTGGTGAGGTAAAAAAAATTGTGCCTCATTTCCTCATTGTTATGATTTATGAAGGTAAAGTTAGTGAACATATTTTGATTTTTATTTTGTAGGGGAGAGAACCGTTTGTTTCTTATGAAGGTCTTGAGCAACTTCACCGATTCTTGTTTGTTCTTGGGATCACTCATGTTTTATATAGTTGTGTGTCTGTTGGTTTGGCCATGATTAGGGTATATTATCTATCTACTGCATTTTGCATGCATTGGACTGAGACTCTGTTTTGTCTGTACAAAAAACGTGAATGCCCTCCTCATCATCATCATCGAAAATAGCTCCATAGAGGTTGTTAATGGGCATGTTTTATATGCAGATATACAGCTGGAGGAAATGGGAATATCAAGCAAGCCTATTGGCAGCCGAAAACTTGCAAGGTTTTCTTCAACATTTCATGCTTGATAAATGATATTTAGAAAAGTTGGGACTTAATGGGAAAATTTTCATTTCTCTAACATTCTATTTTTAGTTGTTCTTTCTAAAAAAATCCATATGCATTGAGGGGTTGTTTCTTTCTGACTTAACAGGCTTAAGGGTTAAATACTTAAATTGGACAACTATACATGAATATTGTGAAATTTGATTTTTGGAATGTAAGGATAAAATGGTTATTTAGTTTCGTTCAAACAGTTTATTTAGTCTAGAAAAGAAAAAGACTTAATGGGTACAACACTTTGTTTGCTTATTTATTTTGGTGTATGTTTATAGTGAGGAAGATAAAAGTGATGAGGCGCCAAGTGACTTTCATTAAACACCATGCAACACATCCATGGAGCAAGAGCCGGATTCTTATTTGGATAGTACGGATTATCCAACACATTTTCAACACGTTTAAATTTCAAGATCATGCAACTAGATGAAATTTTCTTTTCAAAATGAATCACTAATGGCTCTAAAGATATTTAAACTCACAATCTAATTGTTTTTATGTGTTGTTTGTTATTACAGCTGTGCTTTCTAAGACAATTCAAAAGTCCAATGCAAAAGTCGGATTATGCGGCTTTGCGGTTGGGTTTCATCACCGTGGGTATTTGACTTTGGCTCTATTTCTTTCTTATTTCCATTAAGTCATTCTTTCTGCATTAAGTCACAAGTTAAATGCAAGAAACAATAATGTAATTTCATTGATTTGTTTATTATAGCATTTTAATTTCATTTCATCCTCATAACAACATTATACTTTGAAAAATCTACCAAGTTGTATCATCATCATCCAAATACAAAGTAAAATTTTAAAATTGTGTAGATTTTTCGAAGTATAATGCCTTAATAAGTAGAAAGAAATGCAATGTACAATGAGGTAATAAAAAGAAATGAAAGAAGAATACTATGATAAACAAACAAATGAAAATATGTTGCTATTTCCTGCATTGAGCCCATAAGTCAAAAAGAAACATCTTACTATCTTGGTGTGTTGTGTATTCAGACTCATAAATTGCCACTTTCTTATAATTTCCACAACTATATGGTACGAAGCATGGAAGATGAATTTTATGAAATTGTGGGAATTAGGTATGTTGTTTTTTTTATTCATTCTTGAAACTTATATAACCATAGTTATCTCACATTCTTGAGTTATAAATAATGTTCGTTATCAATTATCTTTTTTCAGTTGGCCACTTTGGGCTTATGCCATACTATGCATCTTCATAAACATTCATGGTAAACTTTTTCTTCACATTTGAAAGTAAATTTTACATAATTTCCAACATGTTTTTGATTGATTTTGGGGTCTTGTAGGTCTTAATATTTACTTCTGGCTTTCTTTTGTCCCTGCCATTGTAAGTCTATGTGTTTTCTTTTCAATTGATTGATAAATCTTGTAATACTTAATGTTTTTTTGGTTGAAAGCTTGTGTTGTTGGTGGGGACAAAACTTCAGCATGTTGTCTCCTTATTAGCTCTTGAAATAGTGGAGACAAGGGGCCCATCTGCTAGAGTAGCTCAAGTGAAGCCGAGTGATGAGCTTTTTTGGTTTGGTAAACCAGAAATATTGTTACGATTGATACAATTCATCTCCTTTCAGGTGAATTTTTTATTACTTCTTCACAAGTTTCCAAAAGACATTAATACCCTCCTCCTCATCATCATGTTTCCATGATTCTGAATTTTTACATTGCCCAAATGCAGAATGCATTTGAGATGGCGACATTCATCTGGTCTGTGGTAAGTAAACCCTCTTCATGCATCAACATTTAATGAGATTTCATCGAATTTTCCTAAAAATAAATAAGATTGCTCATGAGTTGTTGCATAAAACAATCACCTTTTGCAGTGGGGATTCAAACAAAGATCATGTTTCATGAAGAATCACACGATGATAGTTATTAGGCTGACTTGTGGGTATGTTTCTCTTTACAAATTTGAAAATCGTGTCCTAAAAATGACAAAAATTTTCATCTTTCACCACTTTTGTTTATTATAGCATCATACTTTTGTTTCTTCTTATTAAAAGATTGTACTTTGAGAAATCTTCCCAATTATAGCAATGTCATCCGGATACAAAGCAATTTTCACTATTTCTCATAGCATAATGTTCTAATAAGAAAAACATAATAAAGGTACAAATTTAAAATGTTATAATTATTTCTAATCACATCTTTGTTTTTCTGGTTACATTGTCATGATTGCAGGGTTCTTGTCCAGTTTTGGTGTAGCTATAGCACAGTGCCTTTGAATGTCATTGTTACACAGGTTCATGTTATAAAATGATAAAATCATCAAGAAATTTTAAGTTTTTTGTTACATTGTTCACTCATTTTGATTTTTTATTTTTCAGATGGGTTCAAAGTGTAAGAAAGCATTGATAGCAGAAAGTGTTCGTGAATCACTTCACAGTTGGTGTAAAAGAGTAAAAGAAAGATCAAAAACACTTCACTCAGTTGCTACAAGGTCAACATGTTCACTTGGGTCAACCATCGATGAAGGTGATGAAGTAATTACAGTGGCTTCAGGGACGTTATCTCAGTCATCATCCACCGGAACACTTACTCAGATGGAGGATAACCGGAGCTCCGGCGATGCCAACCACCCACCGGAGCAAGAACTTTCGTTCAGGATGTCTGAATATTTGTCTGATACGATTAGACATGCACCACCAAATCAGGGCATTGAAGAGCATGAAGTTGAAGTTGAAGTTGAAACTCTTCAAGATTTACTTCGTAAGACATGAAAGTTTAAGTTCTTCAATTGGATATTTAAGACATTGGTGTTGGCATAAACCCTAACTCGAGTTGACATTACATCCAATATTTCGTACTTTAGAGGTGAAATATTTCCTTTAAATGTTGTTATCATTACTAATAAACAATATTTACTTCATAACCACAAACATGCATCAAGAATCCTCTTCAGCAACCCTAATTTCATCTCATATACATAAAAAAGAAGAAATAGAGATTATAAAAGTGTTTAATATGCCATTGAAGTCATGATTTTGTCACCTTTTAGCCATTTGACTAGGTTTCAAACGATTTCCAGGTTGCCACTTGCCACATGGCTGTGATGTGGCTCCTAGAAGACAAATTTGATTTTCCTCACGTCTCCTCTTCCTCTCGTCTAGGTATCTTCCTTGTGTATTTAGTCGATAGATAGTTCAAGGATAACAAGAATGATAGAAGTAATGATTATATTATATACGATTCAAAAGAAAAACTACACGTCCCAATCAAGCTTAACACATCATGTCCTTACCAAAAAGGTACTAAACAAAACATAGACTTCACTTAATCATTTCCTTCACAAAGCCATGAGGCTGTCAAGGCGTCAGCACCCTTTGATGAAGCTCGTTGATGACATTCACCCAAGCTTGAAGCTTCTCCACATATTTATCTCTGCTCCCACCAATATATAGTTGACAAATCATATGTTGAGTGCTATGAGGCAATCCAGACAACTATTTGTCTATTTCTCCCTTCTCTTCAAACATTGTTGTGGTTTTGTTTAAACATGGACATAATTGGTGGGGGGATATTAGCAGGGTGATGGTGGAGAATTAGATTCAGATCGTGTAAGGACAGTTTCCGACCTAATATTTTTACCTTATGTCGGGTTATAGGAAATCCGGTCTAAGATAATCCAAAATGACACTCACGAATTTGGGCACAGAAGCGTAAGTCGAATTGTCAGAGAACTTTTGAGTTTGTTCAAGGAGAGATGAGAAGCTTCTACTTTTGAGTTTGTTCAAGAAGGAGAGATGAGAAGCTTCCAATGAAGGCTCAATAGATAAGTCATATTTATACATTGACAAATTAGGGTTTTATATCTTTTAAGTTATTTTTAATAAGTCACGAATTAATAGCATAATCAGTGGTTTTCAAAACGAAATTTGTCAATCTTACCATAATTACCCACTAGACACCACCAGGGACTCTGCCCCTTGGATCCCGCTAGGGGCGTTGCCCTAGGACCCTGCAAGGGGGAGCGGCCCCCTTGACCCCCGTCATTTCGTCATACCGGCTTATAATTCGATCTTATATACACTCCGCATTCACTGAACATATAACATAGAGAACATATAACATGGAGTAAAAATAATAAGCACCTTAACTCGCGACACTAAAATCACCAACAATAACCATTTTACTTCTCTCAATATCCTTGAATATCTCTTGCCTTATTAGTTGAATGAGATCGTATATTTCATGCATTGTAGTTGGCATGATTATTTGTAGGAATGTGGGGTTTAAGAGTTTTTATCTTAGAATGAGGTTACGGACGTAAGATTTTATAGTAGGGGTTACACGAGAAAGTCAGGAGTTGCACGCTAGTAGAAAAAAAAATCGAAAATTTTTACACTGCGTCTTGAAAAGTCAAGGGTTGCATGGGCCACCCGTGTGCCCTATACTAGAACTGTCCCTCTTTGTTGTTTATAACATACTTACACTGAAAAGACATTTAGTGACACTTAGGGTTTACCAATTAATGTTTTGCCAATTACTAGAATATGGTCATTATAAGATACATACATACATAGTCTATATAGTCTAATATAATTTTGCAATTTAATGATTGTTTTAAATCTTCTATATATACAATATCATCAAATACCTAGTCAAGTTCGACTTTCTGTCTACCACCTTTTAATGATTGTTTTAGGTCTTATATATATAATAGGATCACATTCATAGTGTTACTAATGCAGACACATTTGTTTTGTTGTATCTTACACATGTCTTGTATCTCGCAATGTCTTTTTCACCCTCCAGGTGCACCTTCAAGAATAACAAACTAAAGCTGACCCATCACTAAAATTGGGATGTTTTCTGCGAAGGAGATAAAAAAAATCCAATAAAAGCAAATCAATGTAGAAAAATCAAGTAACTTCCATTTCTGCAAACGAAGAAAGCAGGGACAAAATGTTTGAGGATTTGCAGGTGGATAGTAAGGGATTTGGCGTTTTTTTATCTTACAAAAGAAAATGCTATTGACCATGCTCTTAGGAGGTCCATGGAAGACATTTATTAGAAGCTTCGTTAATCAAAAGAAGGATCAAGAGTTCTTTGTTGAAAAACATAAATCGTTTTGTTACAAACTTTTAATGTTTTGTGTACCCCTTCCCTTATGTTACCAACTTCTGAACATGTGGTTTGTGTACCCCTTATGTTATCTTAATATATTTCGTTTTATGTTATCATCTCTAAAACATGTGTGCAGTATGTACCAACTGATGGTCTTTGTTACTTGTCACAACAACTACAAAAACATGTGTAATCAAATCTATCATCCCTTCATCTCTAATAACGTATGTGTACCAACCAGCGGATAAGAACACGTGTGGATGAATTTCATCAAATATGGGGTCTGTATCTCCACAAGTTATTGGAAGACGATCACATATTCAACAAATATGGTCTACAAGTTGAGTAGGAGAGGAAAGAAAATAACAAATGAGCAGGATGTTAAGTAATTCTGTAATCACAAAGTAAATCACGATTACATGATCGGTTTCCAAATGATGACAAAATCTAAAGTTTAATGGTCATTTTCACCATCTCTTTACTTAGAGCATGTAGGAACCACATCATAACCATGTGGCAAGTGTCAACCGGAAAACCGATTGAAACATGCTCTCAAATGGTTAAATTGTGACAAAATCTTGACTTTAATGACCTAATTAACATGATTAAAATTTTAGTGGCTAATGAGGACAATTTTGAGACTTTCATGGTCAAAAAGTCAATGCTCCAAAAAAAAATGATGAAATAATTCATGTTTACTTTTGTTACATGCATATTATGTCTCCGAATATATATTGCTTGTTATACTTGTCACATTCACTATTCTTTTTTCTTGCTAAACACCCTGCTTACTGTTTTGTTTTGCCTTGAACCGGAAAACAAAGACATTCAAGCTTTTTATACTTTGACAACATGTCCCATCTTCTACTTTTTTTTGGATAGGACAAAAACTCTTGCAATTTTTGTGTTTTTTCAAAGCTTTTTATACTTTGAAAAAGCTATGAAAAACTCTACCTATTGTGGGAGCTTTTTTACTAAAAGCTTTTTTAAGATTGCTTACTAATGAACACGTTCTTCAGCAGAAGTTTTTTCAATCAAAGCGGTTGATCTCATATATATTCAACAAATTAGAAGTTACCAACTTATACAAAAAAGTAAATGAAAAAGCTGGTGTTCATTAAACTTTTTAGATTGATGATGTGGCCTGACATCAAAAAGCTCTCCCACCAAACACAGTCATCTGCCAGCTCAGACGTGACAAATGGGGCCCATTGGACCACGATGATATAAGTGAAGAAAATGAAAAGACCAAATTAAACACAATGAATTAAAAATACAATAGAACATGTATATAACAAATTAACAACATTGTCATCATTTTGCACACTACACCACCACAAAAAAATGTACCCCCACCTCCCCCATCACTTCCTTCTTCATGGTATTAATCAAACACAAAGTAACGTAAATGAGAATACGAAAAATTTACGAATGTGGAACAAAAATAGTTTTTTTTTTTTTTTGATATAATCTACCTTTCTTCTTCTAAACTCCATGGAAAGGAAGGAAAAAATGATCAAGCCTCCCCCTATCCTTAAAGAGTTAAGTATACTACTAATCACTCCCCAACTCTTGTCAAGAACCAGGTCATGGGTCCCACTTTGGGTCGTGTTTGTGTTCTTACTTCTTCCTAACAGTGACTTAGACTTAATCGCACTTGATGTTTCGGTAGATCCTTCTAACAAACATGTTTGACCCCAAATGTCCCACAGCTCCTGAAAATTAATTTAATAAAAAAAAACATCAACTTTTTTCAACATTAAGATGGAGTAAACTGCAAAAATGGTCCTTATGGCAGGGTTTTGTTCTGCTTTTGGTCCTTGACTTGTATTAGTCCGTTAAATCTTCAGAAAATGACCACTTTGACCTCTATTTAATATATTTATTTTATTATGATCATTGTTATTAAACTATGAGTTTTTGTGTCCTCTTCCGTTGACTTGTTAACAAAACTCATTTGGAATGGAATCTCAAATGAAGGACCTAAAGCACAACAAAAACACGCCATAAGGAGCAAAAAGATTCCTCTTTGGACTCATTCCAAAAAAAAAAAAATCATATACCACAGGGACCATTTTTGCAGTTTACTCAAAGATATATTAAGTCTTATGAGGGCATTTTTGTCTTTTTACACAGACAAGAAATAAAGTAATAGACAGCTTTCTAGTCCCCGTCCCACTAACATCAGTCAGAATCCAATGAGGATAAAGAGGGCATTTTTGTCTTTTTGCACAAGAACCCCTAGTCCCTATCCCACCTTTTTGGATGGGACAAAAAGCTGCAGCTTTTGTCTATGAGTACAGTTCCAAGTCCAATGCATGTCAAACACAGTACAACCTGTTCTGTTCTTTTTTGTTTGAAATATCAAAAAAAACAGAGAGAGAGAGAGAGAAATATACCACATAGAATTCCTAAACCGAGGCAGAACATGGCGGTGTATCCAAAATAGAAGCTGGTCTGGAAGAAACCAGACATTTTGGTCTTGACATAATAGTAATATATGGAATACAAGTAGACGTAAATAGCTGTGGATGCAGCTGAGAAGAAGGAAGTCCATTGCCAGTAATAATTCTCCGCATTCAGCAAAAAATATGTTCCAACAATCGTCACGCAAACAGTCACTATAATCAATATCAGGAAAACAAGTAGCATAAACCCATACACATAGTACACCTGTCATGTCAATTCAAAGTTTCAAACAAATCATTATTAATTATTAATCATTCATTTCATGACAACTCATTGGAGGATTTAGTAGTAGTGAGAAATGACAAGAATACCTTGTAATTCCAAAAGGATGTGAAGACAAAGTACATCTCAATAAAAATACTACCAAAAGGCAGCAATCCTCCCATTAAAGAAACCACAGAAGGTGTAAGATACCATTTCTTGTCTGGAATTGGGCGAGGGATTGTCTTCACACGACAAGGGTTGTTAGGGGCCCCACTCCAATTCCTTCCAACAACTGTTCCAAGAAGGGCAAGTGGGAAAGAAATAAAACCCCAAATCACCAAAACCACCACCATTGTCCCAAATGGTATAGCTGCTAGAGACCCATACAATATGGCAACTGTGTTCAGAATGAAACCGATCCCAAAGCACAAAAATGGGAAAAGTGATGCTGTCAAGATCATCGACTTTATCCATGTTTTCCCTGAAAATAAAAAAGGTCATAATCGGGAATTTAAAAATAATAAGAAGAAGAAGAAGAATATATCAAAATTATATAGAGGAGTACATACCACCATTGCGTGAGTACATCCCCCCACTCACATAGCCAGATATAAAAGATGTGAAAGCATAGCAAACTATAAATGTTGTTACAATTGCTCCTCTCCTACAAAACAAATAACCAAACTTCCATTATTTTTTTCTCCCTGATAAATAATGTTTTAGAGGATATTTGAGAAGGAAACAATTGAGAGCAAATTTATAAGTTAGGACTTCCACTGGCTTTCTCTATTAAGTCCTTCTTTATGCATTTTTAAGTCAATAAGAAACACCCATATATAGTTTATCAGATTGAGGGGTTGTTTCTTTTTTTTACTTAATGAGCTTAAGGGTTTACACACTTAATCCACGCAGCTATACATGTCTGTTTCTTTTTGAATAAATCTGGACAGAATGACTTAAAGGGTTAAGCCAAAAAAGAAACCTACATTAATGTATTAAGACACTAACCCTTCAAAAAGAATTTCCTTTCTTCTTTTTTCCTCCCAACTTCATTCATGTTAAAAACTTAAAATTTATGAATATTCTGAAACTTGTTTTTTGAAATGTAAGGATAAAATGGTCATCTAGACTTCATAATTTATGTTACATATAACATACCCGATATACAACATTCCGATAATGGCAAACATGATGACAAGAAGAATCAAAAGTGCCAGCTGGGCACCTGTCCCGACAACTGCCGACAGCAAAACCAAATTACGAGGTGGTCGGAAAACATCTCCATGAACAAGTTTCCAACCAGATTCTTCACTCACGTCTCTTTCCTGAAAAAAATAAAATTAATAAATTCAGGAGTGGATTATTAAAAATGAACTGGTTGCTTTATATAGTTTCATTACCAGAGTTTCTAGATCATCATCTTCTCTTGCATATTTGGCATAGTCGTTTCTAAGAGTTCGCATTAGGATCATTGAAACAAGCCCAGTGAGAAAGATAACCATCATAAATGAATTGAAGATGGAAAACCAATGAATCTGCATCATCAGATCCAACAAACATTACATTATAGCCCCAATGATGTAATAAAAATAAAGAATAATGCTATAATACATAGATAATTAAAGTTATGAAACTATGAAGTACATTGATATTTCTTGCATTTAACCCTAAAGAGAAACAAGAAGCTTATATAAAAGTAGGAGGCTATTACATATAAATCAATGAAAGTATGTTGCTATTTCTTGCTATTTTTTGGAAGTTACCTGATGCTCGAAGAAATGGTAATCAAGGTAAACATCAAAACGACGAGCAAATGTGATATTAGTTTCAGTCCATTTGACTGAATATGTCATGTCTAGGGTTCTACCAGCATCCAATGGTTTTGGGTTTTCTTGAGTCAGATTAACATGGATAATCTGCAATAATTGGAAATCATTCATGGTATAAGGCAAATAATCAGAAAACCCATTACATCAGTTAACATAAAAATGAAATCTTGCAAACCTGATCTTTGTTGTATTGTAAAGTGATATTCATATGTGTAAATAACATATGCTTGTTATCAGTGTTCCTATCAGAATGCACCTCCCCCACAAAACCTATTATACCATTAAGATGTTAAATAAAAAAGGCTAAAAAGACACGAAAATATAGATTCAAGAGAGATTATAAATGCATACCCCACAGTGGCAGATCATCTGAGTTTGATTCCATGCAGTAATAAAAAAGAGAAAACAAGATTAGAAGAAACAGATGTGAAAATTATCTGTTTTTTGTACTTTATGACAATAACAATGCATACCCATGAATAGTTCAAACCAGTAGCTATTCTCAATAGCCTGTTTAAATTGCATGGCTTTTGGTTCATCGAGGTCCAGCTTGCAAACAGTAGTCTTTTCCACATTCTCTGTTAGAGATAACATATGTTAGGTAAGTGTTTTGAACTATAATCATACAAGAATATATTTAAAGAAAAAACATACTTTGGAACTTGACATCCATTTGGCTATCAATAAGCTCATTTCCACCCAATACTTCACCCAAACCACCCCACTTGTGTGCAGCATGTCCAGGTAGGTGACAAAATGGAAGACTGTAGAAATTGTATGTTTCTTGTGGATTATTGTAAGGTCCAACTTTATTCACCCAAAGGGTGACTTTGTCATCTGGTTGATACTGCATATGTAAGCAATAAAGATATCAAAGCAAAGCCATGAACAAAGTAATTGGATCTGAAAAAACACAAGCATTAATATTGGTCCTATTTATTCAAGATATCAATCATGATATGGTACTATGGTAGAAGCACTGAAATGCAACACTTTTTACTTTAGGATATCCCAACTTCTCACCATGAGTGTTATTGACTCCCTTGCAAGTTTTCACAAATTTTGTACTATAAGGGGAATTTTGGGTGGCTATTGGCTAGTTTGTCACAGCTCTAATCAAACTATATGTCAAGTTAAATTTTCCATTAGTTTACCCTTCAGTCCACATAGTTAGTACTTAGTAGCCCTGTAAAATGATGGCATTATCTTTGATATTACCATGATCACAGATCAGGTTTCACAATAACTTACAGCTACTATCTCCTACTACAAGACCATTCATGATCAGAGATAACATATTGCCGTAATTGGCAGAAACAGAGACAAAGAAAAGCAAATCTTGTGAGAGATCTAAACCCTAACCCAATTCAAATCTCATTTCCGGAGCTAGATTTCCACACAAAATAAACCAAATGTGGTTAGCATATCTAACAATTAATCGCAAAACCATGACATTTTAAATCAAAGATCAAGAAGATCGAAAACTCATGGTCGAAATATAGATTTTGGGGTTGAGGCGTTAGTTAACCTTGTGATCATACTCGGAGGCGAACGCCGGCGATAAGATGAAAAGAAAGGATGCGAAGAGTGCTGCAATGACGGACCAAGACGACGGTGATCGGACGGAGGGCCGCATCGGGATCGCCGGCTGAGTGATTGGATGTAACGGTAATTGCTCGGATGTTGTTTCCGCGTTCGATCTGCACAAGGGTTCCACTCTTTTTCTCTACTTCGTGTATTTTAATTTACTTCCAAATCACATAGTCAACGATGATAAAATAAACAAGTTTGAGAAAGAAAATTTATTTTTAGTCCTTCATCTTTATGATTATTTATTTATTTATCCCTTTATGTATTTATTTTATGTTACTTCATGATACATTTGTTGTACAAGACTAAGGTGATGTTTGTTTTTTTGAAGCCAAAATGTTTGCAGTCTGTGGACCACATCTTCAAGCCTCTGCGGTAAAAGAGGTGGATCAAATGTCTGCAGTCTGCAATAAAAAGATTGTTTGTTTTTAACTTCTACGGCTGTTGAAATAGATTGATTTTTCAAACTTAATTTCATGTTATAAACATTAAAAATATATTTTCAGCAAAAAAAAAAAAAATTGCACGGTGGCCCGTGTTTTTTTTATTTTTTTGATTTAGGTTAAAATTAGATCTGAAGACCTTTAAAGACAATGATACATGTCTACGCCAGGAAGACCTCGCGCAGACGTTTTTTTATCTGCACACTTCCAAAAAAACAAACACTTTGCGAGGCCATATGTATGCGCGTTGTCTGCGCGGCGGAGACAAAAGTGGTTGCGTGGATCTTCACAAAAAAAAAAAAAAAAAAAAAAAAAAAAAAAAAAACCTAAGGGTGTGTTTGATATATAGTTGACAGGGTCGGTCAGCATTTTTCACTAACTCGGTCCGGTCAGCTTGTTTGATGACTGACTCGGTCAGCAATCATTGACCCTCCTCATGACTCGGTTCATGCTTGAAATGTTGTTGCCCAAAAAAGACTTTTATGCCCTAAAAAAGTGCCTCATTGTTCAGCTTTGTTCCTCTTTTCCTTCTTCCACACATAATTTGAAGCTGCTCCTCCCTCTTGTCATACCGTTAACGCCTGAAGTTGGGCGTCTGCCTCTACCTATCGCCAGCACTGATGTCCACCAGCCTCCACCTATCAGGTACTTTCTTATCCTTTTTTTCTGAAATCAATTGAAAAACTAATGTTGGTACTTATCTATGTATGTTTTATATATGAAATTAGAATGGTGTTGGTATGTTCGTCGACCTCCACCTAGCTAGTGCCAATAAGTTCTAAAATCGTTTTTCTTAAATTGGTGAAGGTCGAATGATTCTTTTGGTGAGGATTAGATGTTTGATGCTTTTAATCGATTCTTGCAATTTTTTCTTTAATCAATTCATGAAATCCTTTTTGAAATCGCTTTCTATACAGCCATATCCTTCCATCGCAGGTTCTCCATATTGTTTTCATGTTATTCTTTGGCTATCCAAAATTATGTGTTATATTTTTGTTAAATGTTGCTTGGTTTCAAAAATCAAAGATGTGCAAGACACTAAAGGATGAAGGAGGCGGCTAATTGATATCATTTGGACGCAAGGGCACTTTTTGATGTGTATGATGACTTTTTTTGTCTCTTATGTTAGAGCTTTTCTAGATAGTGGGATGCGTGTTTTTTTTTTTTTTTTTGGGGGGGGGGGGGGGGAGGGTGGAGATCCGGTGGAACAATCGGGTTCCTATCAATTTGAACATTCATCTTTGGTGATTGTGGTTACATAGTATTCCCGCTAGAGAGAGACTTTCGTCTAGAGGTATTGTATAACACCTATTTTAGGTAAATATTTCATTTATGTTTTAGGCATTTAAGAGCTAAAAATATAGGCCTTGTTATGGCCAATATGTGGTGAAGGATACATCACGACGTGGCCATGGATGAATAAAACGCACATCAACTTCGTATACCACGACATGACGTTGATGATCACGGTGTGGCAGCCGCTTGAAGGCTTAACCCTAATTTTGGGGTTTATGCCCCTATTTAAGGGGAGGTGAAGGATAGGATTTACACACCCTCAGCCTCCATCGCCTCCCTTTCACCCTCGATAAATCCCTTACCTCCATTTTTGACTTGTGAAGCTTTTGGAGGCGTTTTGGTGCTTAGAAGAAGAAGAAGATCTCCTTAGTGTGTTGTTCTTGCAAGCAAGTCACCCCCATCATCGTCTTCTGTCATTTGTGGACTTTTGTAAGACCTAAAGATCCTACCTTTCTCTTTGTATCATGATAGATCTAGGTTTCTACCCACTTTTCTCCATGTTTGGGTTGAGTTGAGTGCATGGATTCCATAAAGTTGGCAGCGTTATGGATCCTTGAGGTCCCTTGATGGACATAAGTTCCAAAAGTTTGATAGTGTATTGAACTCCATGCATGAGATCTTGGCTTTATTTTTCCCTTTTTGACCTAGTTTGAGTTCTAGACTTGCATTGGACATGCATATCTAAAAAGCAACGATTTTTATGGTGTGATAGAAGTAAGAAAGCCTTTTGAAAAGTATGAATGATTGGCTTGATGGATTAAGAGGTTAACCCATTAAGCTGTAAGATCCCATTTTTCATGACATGGTGACTAGGGATATCGCGATTGTTTTGTCCTTATTCTACCACGATGTTATCAAAGGGTGGTCATGACGTGGAGGTCAGCTGGGGATGAATTTCACTATCGACTTTTTGACCATTGTTGACTTTTGGTCAATTTAAGGTTTTCAGGGTATAGGTTGAGAAGGTACTTCTTTGTTGTTGTTAGGTGTCTCGTTGTATTGGCCTTCACTGTGTGAGAGTTGTGTTTAGTTGTTATCTGTGAGGTGAGTCTTCTCATTGCATTACTTACGTCATAGTGTGTACATGCTGACTAGTTAGGTCTTATCTATTGATTGATGTTATGTGTTACTGAGTTGTTGTTAGTTCCATGATGTGTTGTTAGCCCATTGGGGCTGCTGATAGTCTCCAAGGTTGCTGATAACTCACAGGACGTGTTGTTAGCCCATCGGATGTGTTGTTGGCCCAAAGGGCGTACTGTTAGCCCATTATGACTGCTAATAATCCCCAGGGTTACTGATAACCAATAGTTATTTATTTATGATGTGTTATATGTGATATTTTGGGGAACTCACTAGGCTTTATGCTTACAGTTGTGGATTTAAATATGTTTCAGGTACTTCTGATGATCGTGGAAAGGCGAAGGCTTGACTGTACACTCCCCTCGATAGTTTTCATGATTTTGTGCTTTGTGATACTCTGATTTTCGGGATGATTGTATTTTGATACTTATGATTTTCCTGATTTGGTTTTCCTAGAAACAATGCTTTTATTTAACTTAAAAATGAAAATTTTGGTTGTGGTTTTTGGGATGTTACATATTGTGGTGGATTCGATCATGTGACCTGTTTTTTCATATTTCGTAGAGAAAATTGATCACCTCTTCATAGGTTTTAGCGAGCTTATAAACTTGTGGATAGGGATGTCAAAAAGTCCCGTGGGACCCCGTTCCCGTGGGGGGGCCGTCCCGTTTGGGGGATTTTTTTTTTAAAAATCGGGGGCGGGGACAGGGGCGGGGGCAAGGTTAACCCCCGTTTTAATTTCGGGGGCGGGGCGGGGGTAGGAAATCCCGTCCCGAAATCCCCATGGGGACCCCGTTAATAAATTACACATATATTTACATATATTAATTATATAAATATAATAAACTATAACATGATTTTGAGCTTCCAAAATTCATCAAAAAACATGTTTTTAAACTGTTAGTATAATTTTTTAAAATGCCATAACTTTTTTATTTTTAACATATAAAATTTTGCTATAAATAATTATTTGTTACCTAAAAAATAGCTTATTTTAGCCTAAATAACAAATTCTTTTAGCCCAAAAAAAAGTAGCCCAAAATTAATCGGGGGCGGGGGCGGGGGTAACAAAGGGGATTCGGGGGCGGGGGCGGGGGTAGAAACATTGAACATTCCGGGGGCGGGGGGACGGAGAAATTTCGGGGGCGGGGGCGGGAGATGCACTCCCCACCCCGTTTGCCCCCGTTGACATCCCTACTTGTGGAGTTGTATTACTATTTGGTGGGGTCTTTAACTTCCTAATCTGATTTCCATTCAGTCGCTAGTTTCTTGGGCAAATATAGTTACCTTGATAGGAGAGCAACGAAAGGCTTTTGATGTTGTGGGGTTGATTACTTCTTGGTATTTATGGAATTTTCGTAATTCCATTCTTTTTGGGATAGTTTTACTTACAAAATCTTTGATTTTTTATGATGTGGTAGATAGGGAGTTTTTCGGGATTTCCAATAGGTATGGGTGGCAATTCTTAACCCAACCCGTAACCCAACACGAAAATAAATGGGTTTGGGTTGAGAATTTTGACCCACCAACCCATATATTATATGGGTTGGGTTGGGTTACCTATTTGGGTTCACGGGTCAACCCGCCAATCCATTTATATATATTATATTTAAAAATATTTATGATTTAATGGAAATATTGGAATATATCGACTATCATTCAATATACGACATGCCTTAGCTAACACTCTTAAGTCCTAACCCCAATTGAATTCTCTAATCGATCCAAACACGAACCTATATACTTAAACGAGTTATGTGGGTTGGGTTGGATTGGATTAATGTTTCCAACCCTCCAATCCATATATTGTATGGGGTGGTTAATGTATTCTGACTGGCCAATTACTAGGCCTACCAATAGGTGTAGCAGAGCTAAGTTGGGATTGAGTTCTTGGATCCATGATGATTAAATATTAATCCGACCCAAATGGATGATTCTCTTTTGAAAATATGTGACATAATAACAAAATAACCATTACTTGCACAAAATAGACTTGTAACATCTAGAAAATACGACCCAAATTTTTCATTTTTAGTTTAATAAAACAGTAATCTAAAACATTGTCATACAACCAAGATGGATCAAAGTATATCACTACATCATAAAATATTAGATTAGATCACAAAATGCGGAATAAGGTGATGTGTGCTCTACAATCATCTCGGGCACTTCCCTTTCGAACCAGAAGTATTTGAAACATAAACTAAAAATCATAAGCACAAAGCTTAGTGAGTTCCCCAAACTACCACATATCATACATAACAAACGCATATTGGGCCCCCGCCCGACATCAAACCCTGCTCAGCTTACAGATCTGTTAATCATCAGGTCCCGCCCG